CCCTCTGCAGCTCCAGGACCTGCCTGCCAAGGGGAAGGTGCCCAAGGTACCTGTGGAAGGAAGGTAGGGAGGGAGGGGAGAGGAAGGAATGGAGAGGGGGGGGAGGAGGTTTAAAAAGGGAAGTGAACGCGGGAAAGCAGCTCCCTCGGGCATCGTGTGCACAGGAAGTCAGCGCCCGGGTCCTGCTCGGGGCTGTGTCCCCACACTGTCACCTCCCTCTGGGCCTCAGTCCAGGGGGGGCCTTAGGAGGCAGGACCCCCAACAATCTGTGGCCACTTTTCTTTACAATCAGTGCCAGCAGCAGGAGCTGGCGAGACCCCTTTTTCTCTTACTTGCTTTTGGCCCTGACCTTGCAAATCAACGAACCCAGGTGGGTGAATCGGGCTCCCAAGCCTCTTGGAAAGGAAGGGGGCCAGAGGGGGCCAGGCAGGGCTCTGCGTCCCTCCTCGGGGTGTCTGCCAGAGGAGCGCACAGGAGGGGGTGCAGCGCCAGGGCTGTCTGGGAGCTGCTTCCAGGGCTGGGCTTAGGGCTGGTTGTAAAGACAGGAATAAGGGAGAGAAGAGACAGAGCTGAGGGGGGACCCCAAAGCCAAGAGCTGCCCCCATGAGCTGGACCACATGTGTCAAACACAAGGCCCGAGGGCCAAATCCGTCCCGCCAGGCCTTGCAATGTGGCCCGCACCGCGCTGTCATCACTGCACTCCGCTGCGTTTCCATCACAATGACAGTTTATGACTGTTCAGTAAACCATTCGGCCCACGATTTAGGCTGGATTTTAGATTTTGGCCCCTTCTCTGATTGAGTTCGACACCCCTAAGCTGGACTAACCACAGGCAGCTTATCCCTGGCCGGAAGCACCCGGCAAGGCAAGCGATGAGTGACAGGAAGCCCCTGAGAGGTACCGGCTCTTCCAAAGGCTTCTTGTAATTTGTAAACAATCTTAACAAGCTATAAACAGCCAGCCCTGACTTCTAGCAGATTCACTGATGCCTGAAATCCACAATGTTTTCCCAAAACCACCCCGTTAATTTGCGGCCCGGCGTTCATTAGGGCAACAGGTCCTCGGGGACTGATTCCTGCAGCTCGGGGCTGAGGTCCGAGCTCTTTGCCACGGCTGGGCGCAGGCCCAGGGCGGCTCCAGCTCGCCTTCCTCCCTCTCCCGCCACAGCTGGCCTGGGAACTCACAGGATAGGGTATGTTTGTTTTGCTTTAAAATCCCAGCGTTTCAAAAATCACCCATCATTTATCACTCATCTTAGATGAGCAATTGTGGGTCGTGCTGGTTGGATCTTTTCCCTCCAAACTCCTCCTGTCCCCGCCCCTCCTCCCCCAAGCTACCCCCTCCCCTGCCCCCCGGGGGAAATCAAGGAAAACAAGACTGGACTTGTCCGGACCCTCTGCTGGGATCCTCACAATGAGCGTCGGGAACGGAGCGCACACAGGACCGTAAATGCGAACCGCGCTGGAGTGGCAAGAAATAATGAAGTAATTAGGTGCGCCATCAGCAGCACCTGGGACTGGTTGGCACAAGCACGTCCCTCCCTGCCTTTCCTCGGTGGTTATCTGTCAGGAACAGTGAGCGCGGCCTGAATTTGGGAACTCTTGGTCCCACACCCAGCTGTCTGCCTCCGAGCACCCCATTCGCCCCGAGGTCCGTACCCAGGACGGGCAGGCAGCCGCTCAGACCAGGGCCAGCCCACTGTGGGCAGAGGAGAGTCCTGCTTCCCACCCCGTTAGGGTTGATGCCGCTTTAATTAGCAATGGATGGGCCGCCTAAGAGGTGCCATGTAACGCACCGTTTCCCTGCTCCGGATGTGAGACGATGAGGGTAGAGATGGTCAACAGCTCCCTGCAGGGTCTAAGTGGAAGTGGCT